TCCACTCGATTGGAAGAAGATTCAAGGTATCCCAAGAATTACAATGCAAGGCAGGATTCCAGGCACCGTTCAATCGCGTTGCCACAGCGCGCCAGCCTGCACTCTGCGATACTTCACGAAGACGTGGACTTCTTACAGCCTTTTAGCAAGAATCCCGCCCGATCCTTGACAACTTCCTCGGCCGTTCCGTGGTCGACCCGTCAGCTACGGCACCAAACACCGTCGGAGCAGGAAGCACCAATCCAGGCCCGTCTGCTTCAGAGATCGCCATCCGAAGCTGCGTGTTGGTCTGCCCTTCCTCGTTCTCGCCCAAAGTGCTGATGTCATCGGCGTCATCGACTCGAGCCATATCGACTCCCCCCCTTGCCGCGCTCCACTTACACCATGGCCTCAAGTGAAGCCCCAACCGAGCTCATAAAGCCGAGAAGCTTCGGGTGAGTGCAGTCACTGCCAGTCCCACCAAGAACCGCAGCATGGCTCGTGCACAGGTTCGATCGTTTTTGCTTTGACCTTTCACATTTTGAGAGCAACGGGGAAAATCAGCTTTCGCCACCCAGCGGGCCGCAGAGGCTGAGCTCCGTCGGATCCTAACTGACTCCTAACTCCTACCGACTCCTGGCCGCACAACACCGCCGTTTGGCCGCTGCGATCGGGAGTACAAAGGTTGTGGCCACGGCCACGTCGTGTCTCTCACTGCACGGCACAAAGTGAGCAAGAGCCACAAAGGAAGCCCTTGTTGCCCATCAGCAACAATGCCTCGTCACAAACCTGCCACTGCGCAAGACTACATGCACGTCCTGATAGCGGCCATCCAACCCCGTCCTCTTGCAGCTCTCGATCTTTGCTCTGCTTCGCTACTCCTGGGATGCACACACGCTGTTTCAACACGAAGTGCCGACGGCCTAACACGCCACACTACTCCTGATTCTGAGATTTCATGGAACTGACTGACCGGTGGTGGACTCGAGTTGCAAAGGATTCGAAGCTTCAATCCCCATATCAACATGTCATGGCAGTTGCTGACCATTTTCGAAGACCTCTGCAATGATGATTGGTCGAAGGCAGCGGAAGCGTGCAGGTGCTGCTTAGCTCTCAGATCAAAAGACACGTCTCTGACAAGCTAGGTATAATCACCTGAGTTCACACAGTGCATCACAGTACTATTCATCTGCGGTTGCCTTCAACAAACGGCGCCGGTGTTCCGGCATCGGAACCCACATTCCTACTGTTCTGGCGTAGTACAGTCCAGTGGGTAGCACCGGTCCCGACCCTTGAAACGCATCCAAGAAGTCTGCCAAAGAATTCGTTAAAATTCGTGCCCCGCACCGAATGCCGGCTGTCTAGTCTGGACCTCCGACCTTCTTTCCGCAGGCTTTCATGCATAAGACAGAAGGTGCCTGCGGCACTCTCTGTCTTTTATAATTACTGCAGGCTTCGCTGCAAGGCAGCCATGCTTGAAATCTACAATCAAAGCCTCTCCCGACTAGGCCTTCTGTACAGATCGAGGCTCGATGATGCCTGCCCGTATGGCTGCGATTTTTGCCTTCTTGCGCTCTTTGAGTTCGCCGGGGGGGCACATATGGCAGTAGTCGCATAAGATAGCATTGGAGCAGCCTCTAGATTTCCAGAACCAGGCACAAGGCTTGCATTGCCCTGTGCCGTGAAGGGCGGAGCCCTGTGAAGGTACATCTGCCGACAAGCCACGTTGCTCGGAATCCGGAAGATACTCGGAGGTGGGCGGCAACATTGAAAGTGGGGGTTCCGCGAGGGAGCTGGCCTCATTCTGCTCCTCAGACGAAGTGTAGTTCCACGTTGGAGCCTTGGAGACTTTGTTGGATCCTCGACCTGCATGGCTTTGGGGCAAAACCAATCCGCTTGTGTTGGGGACAAACTCCTGGGCGTTGGCATTGAGACGTGGCTTTGGCTTTGGCAGTTGCTGCACTTGTGCTGTTGTGACTGACGGCATGCCAAAGCTGCAACCCTTATACATCGCATGGGGTGTTGGCGTGGATGGCCAACACCCACCCTTGTGGATCCGGACATCCTCGTAGGCATCTCCTGCCAAGGAAGTTACGCAAAAGGTCATCAGAACCAGCAGCAAGTTTCGGAACAGGTGTCCTGAAATGTAGGATTGGCACGACGGCGACCGTGTCGTCTGGTCCTGACTTGCGGGAGTGCCCAGTGCCTGGGAACAGGGCGAAGCTTTCAAATCGTCTATCCTCTGAAGCCGGTTCAGGCCTAAGAGTATGAGAATCGAAAAATGCCCCTTGTTCATTCTGGTTGCTCTCATAATCTCCACTTTCTGCACTGTGTCTGCAATGGCGACGTTTACCTGTCGCCGTGGCAGCGGCAAGGAGGGATGACCCATTAGAAGACCAGCCAGGGTGTGCTGAAGTCCCACGGAGCAAAAGTCAAACACGCCCCGTCTGCCTCTGCTATAACTTGAGCCAGGTGGAATGCAGCGTGAAGAAGCGCAAAGGGCGAGCTCACAGCTTCGAACTCCGGGCCGGACTACCCGGATTCGAAATCTTCCGAGGCTCGGGAAAAGAATTGCAGGGACTTCCGAAGCTTTGGCTCCTCGGCTCCAGGATAATATCACTAATAATAAAAAATTTCTGAACAACGATAACCATAACTCCAATAGCAATAGACTTACATGCAACATGTTGTCTTCCTGTAAGACTTGTCGAGAGTCATCGGCTTCGCCCATGAGATCCAAAACTGAAGCGCCCAGGCGGAGTTGCTGCAGTACAGCTTGTACCATCTCCTTATTGACAGGTCCCGGGCGCGAGGCATGTCCTACACCTCTGATCTGGGAGTTTCCGAAAATGGGGACCCTTATTTTAATACCCTGCATAGTAGGATCCTTATTATAAGGACCCCAAAATCAGGTACCCCTTTTTTTCGGAAACTCCCATCTGTTTGTGGCTGTTTACCGAAGCCTTGCAGGCCTAAGGACATCAAACTTTCCATGCTCGGCTCCTCTCCTCTTCAACTTCCTTCGGCAAGCCAACCCCGTCTCTCGCCCCCCCTCTCCATCATCCCTTCATGCGGCTCAGTGGCCATGTAATTCTTGCGCCTCGGTTGCCGGCGGGAGCAGAGTCAGGCCTTCCTCTGCAAAAGGTCGTGCAATAGAGCTGATTGCCGGAAAGCGACAAGCAAATTCCATCTTCTTCAAAGCCTCCCCACTGCATGGGCAGCTTCAACAGGTCGATATGTTGGGACTATCATGGCAGAGAAAAGGCTTCTGGCTCCGACATGTTTCCTCAATGGCTCTTGCAGCTCGAGTGGCTGAGATAAGCGGATGCTTCTTCGTCTGACCGGATCCTTACACTGTCATGACAAATACAAGAACTCCGGAGTTCCATCACGGCGTTGGCGCGACCTATCTCAAGACAGTAGCATCCTGACATCCTTAAAACCTTCCATCTGGCTTTACGAGAGGGTGCCGAAGCAAGATATTGATTGCGGTGACAGCTTCTGAACTTCCATCCGACCCCTGTCTCTGCCGGACTCTGCCGCCACGGCGCGCGTAGAATTTATTGGTTGGGCTTCCACACTCGGCTCCGTTCTGAACGTACGGCGGCGTTGGGAAGACATACCTCAGCACAAGTCTACATGTCCTTGACCAGTCAAGTCCTGGACATCTGGAACATGCTCACGAACAGGCCCCTGTTCTAGTTCTGGCCTTTGCTTGTGTAAGTGCTGCGGAGTCATGCAGTCAACTTGCAAAGGAGTATTGCGGTCAACGACACCATATCCAGTGACTTCTCTTCTGACCATCCCGCACCTCTTGCAAGGCCGTGGCGTAGTGCTTCCTGTCCGGAAGGGGGCTTGCATCACCATGCGTCTGTCTGGCCTCCCCCACTTGTTGGCTGCGGTGCCTTTGCTGATCAGCGAAACGTCGTATGTTGAACGGGTCGTCGCTCTCGAGCATTGCAGTGATGCGAGCGGAATACGTAGACTCCCAAGGCTCCACTTGCACAACACATAACACAACATGACTCGAATCTCGCCTGCTCTGGTGACTCTAGTGGTTCTGGGTGGTTGTAGGCGAGCAAGGTCGCAACATGATGTAAACTTCCACATTCCACGAGCTCATGTCGTGGTACCCCCAGCTTTGCAGGGTCGAAAGGCTGCAAGCCTGAGCCAAGCACCAAGCCGAGCAGATTGGAGAACTGCTTCTGAAACGGCTCACCGACTTGTAACCACAACAGGTAGCACAACACGTGCTAACTCCCATGGCACATCCCCACTCTGTCTAGCCGTTTTGTGTAAGGAAACCTGCCATCTTTTTGAACGAAGCGATTCGCATCCGGCTGTTGTAGCCAGCTTGACTGCCAGAAGCTGCTAGAAGCATCTAGAATCTAGAAGCATGCATGAATGGATGAATGGGCTGTCCACCACCCAATCCTAAGGGCTCAAGGTCTCCCGATTTTCTCGCCCTCACTCGCCCTCGGCTCTGCCAAGACGACATGCTCATCAGCCCCTTGAGCGGATTTCGAGGGCTCCTGGCTTCAGAGTGCAGAGAGTACTTGATACGGTCATAGGGTTGATGAAGGTTGCATTCACAGCACAAGTCAACCAAGAGCTTCGATCTTTTTGACCTAGATGAAAGCCTGAACGGGCTCAAACTGCATGGGCACCTACTTGGCCGTGCAGCTGACTCAAGGCATCCAGACGTATATTTGCCGCAACGCCTTGCTGCCTGCCGCACTTGGACGTGGCTTCAACTTCAACGAGCCGAATCCAGCCGAAGATAACAAGATGAAGACGATGCTGTTACCGGGAGCTCTTCTCGCCGCAGGCATTGGCACACGAATAGTCCTGCTGCTAGGTTTGGTTCGTCTATGTCTATGTGCACCGGGACCACTGCCGCCAACGGCATTGCATGACAGCCGCCGACGCGAAACGCTTCACAAATATATCAGAAATTCGACCTGCTTGGGCATGCTCGCGCCGCCGTGAATCACCTGCGGCACCGGTACCAATAGAAACATCTATATCCAATGGATGGCTTTGGCATCGAAGGGCAACCCACCAAGCCTTGCACAGGCAGACAGCGTGCATGTTGATGGAACGACACATCTCACTTGTCCGAATGTCCATCTGTCTGCTGAGGTTTATTCGAAAAAACAGCGGCAAACCTACCCTGGTTTAGGGTTTCGGGGCTCGCACTCGTTTAAGGTTTAGGGTTCCCCACGCGTAGAGGATTCGGCGAATTCTGCCTAGGAGCCGCTGCAATCGCTCCGTGGGATCCTGCAAAGGGGCCATTCCAAAGAGCCTTAATCATTAGAATAGGATTTTGGGTGTTACCTAGTGTAATTATAGGAGGGTTTTGGGGGTTACCCTTTGATTGTTATGACTATTATAGTATATCCCCTCGCAACCCCTTCCAAAGTGCTCCCAGGGCTCCCATTGGGGGTTTCCGAAACTAGGGGACCCTGATATAGTGGCCTAACAAGTAGTAGGATCCTGATCACAAGTAGTAGCCTAATAAGTAGTAGGATCCTGATTACAAGTAGTAGCCTAATAAGTAGAAGGATCCTGACAAAAAGTAGTAGCCTAATAAGTAGTAGGATCCTGATTATAAGTAGCAGCCTGATAAGTAGTAGGATCCTGAAAATAAGTAGTAGGCTTATAAGTAGTAGGATGCTGATTTTAAGTACTTACTAGCCTAACAAGTAGTCGGATCCTGATTATAAGAACCCCAAAATAAGGTACCCCTAATTTCGCAAACTTCCAATTTGACTCGACAGTGCCAGGCACACAAGTGTCCTCCTTGTGCAGCATTTCCCATCTTGGCCACCTCCCTTCTTCAGACCATTTGCCTCAGTTTTTGATGGTCTTGGCCGTTGGCACCCTCACACAGGCAGACCTTGCAGACTATGACTACTTGCAGCCGTGGCTCAAAGCGTCACAGTAAGGTCAGGAGTTGCGAAAGTCCAGCTTGAGTCAGACGGTCTTATCCTTCCATTCGTGGGATGTAGAATAGTAGAAAGGCAAAAAAGCTACCGTAAGGCATAAGGCACTTTTGAAGCCCGGGTCCGGTGTGCCAGCTCACCCTCGAAAAGCGTGTCTTCCCCGACTGCCACAAGAAGCCTCTGCTCCTCACAAGCGAGCCCCAACATCGCAGATAATGGCAGCTTCATTTGGCTCTAGATGCTTCCTCCCTCTGGGTGGAAGCCCTTACATGGCTAGCCGCCTTCAGTCTCACTCATACGGCGCCAGCCCACGCGAGCCTGTAAAACAAAACACTTGGCTGTTCATGCTCCTAGCATACGACTCCAAAAAGTACGGGTGCTTCCTCACCGGTGCTCGACCACCGCAGAACGACGAGTTGTCATTGCCGACATTGAATCTTTCTAGTGATTCTATTGCTTCATGACGTCCACGGTCGCAGTGGCTGTGTGAGTCTGGTGGCATTAGAATCATTAGCAACAGCTCTTAAGCCCGCTAGAGACGGACCGTGCTGTTCAGAAGTGACAGAGACGCTGACAATCCTAACACGTCCGAAGCAAATGGGGCCCCGCTCGCGGCCCGCATGATCTTGCCTGGAAGCGCACCAGGATGTCCTTTGCCTTCCGGAGAGGTCCCAGAACCCAATGTGCATGGACTTCAGTTTTCTGATCTTCGAGAGTGAAGTCCTGGTCGTGCTCTGCACTGCGGGTGCGCTTTGGAGTGGGGAACGCTTACAACTCAAGGCAGGCTAATGCAGGTCCATGTGTCCGAGATTTCCGGACTTTTGGAAGCTTTCGCCCGTTGCTTGCTCTCGTCTGTCGGCGCTTCGCCAGGAATGTCTCTTGGACAGGAAGTATCAAACCTTAGTGTGGGTGCATCGGTGCTGCAAGCGGCTCAACACGGCTCAGCCCCTCTGGCACAAATTCACATTGCACCGAGGAGCCCCAGCGATCGCAATGCTTCCTTAGCTCGTCCGTCGTTGGGCTGCTGCGCCAGCAGCGCCTGCAGAATGTCCGCGGCCTGAGGGGAAAGGGACGACACGGCGGGCCAAGAACACTGGAAGTGTCTTCTGATGTCAGCCTCGTCTTTCTGGCCTTGGTGCTGGAGGCAGCACGCCAACTCCAAATAGGCCTGCAAAGAGCTCTGCTCTGCAGCGGTTTTGACGTGCTCCGAGGCTCGTGGTCGACTCTACGGTTTGTAGCACCAACGATGCTTGCTCGATCCCTGAGCGATATACTTTACCAGGACTACAAGTTGTGCGTGATTGCTTTGCCCTGCGACTACATCCAGGAATTTGCGAAGGTTTCCAACTTGATGTTAAAGCAGCACAGAAACCATTCCGTTTTAAAGAGTCTGACCGCGGATTGCTGGGCATTACTTTATCGAGCCACACTGACGGTGCCGACAAGCTGTACTCTTACCGTGTTTGCCCATTCTGCGCAAACTTTTCCGCTTTATGGTTCCAAAGACTTGCGGGATTACTTTTGCGGCTCATGCATTTATGGATCTTTGTTCGCCACGCTCTTATGGGCTATGCCGAGAAATCACGGGCGGAACAACGTCACCCTGCCGCCTGTGACAAGCTTGGGCAAGTGGCCAGGGCCTTCCTAGCTGTAATAGAGGCATCAGCAGGCTGCCCAAGCTGCCGAAGAGCTCCAGCCAGTTCCTGAAAGCAAAGAACATACTGTAACATACTGTAGCAGCTATAGCATACCACTTAGTGTGCAAGGATGCAAACGCAAGGGGTCGGTCTTTGGCAAGGATCAGTCAATGCCCAGGCTGCTTTCCGCAAGTCTCCACCTCTTCCCAGTCGATTGACACATGCGGGCAGGATTCTTGCAGCTTCGGCAGGACCACCATAGTTTCCAAGACGCGCCCAATGACCCCACCCAAGGTCCTCTTCCAGTTGAGTTGTCTTGATGCTGCACTGAGTTGGAGCCGATTCCTTGCTGGCTGCTGGGAAGCAGCTCCAGTCATTCGATGGAAGCTGATTTGCCAGCAGTTGCCTGGTCCCAAAAAAGCCCACGTTCTTCCTGCCGACGATCCAGCCCGCACTCACATCACCCGCCTTGTTTGCTTGCACTTCCATGGATAGCTGAAAGCCGAATCGGTTCTCGAAGACGGGAAATCCGTTGGACACTTTCCTCGAAGGCTCGTAGACACCCTCGCTTTCTGCCACGCTGGAGCCTTTCAGCTCTACAGCCTCAATGCAAAAATCCATCACGCCGCCATGCAGCATCTTGGGGGCTTCAGCTGCGCAGACACTGACCGGCCAGGCTTTCGGTAGCAATCCATCACATGGCTCGCCGAGCTCTTTCAGCAGTTCCTTGCACTCTCGCAGTAGCCTTCGTGTGTTGCTATCAGCCTTCTGGTCCACGGTTTCGATCCTGAAAACTGAGGGCCCGGGAACTGGCTTGACACACCCTTGTCCAGACATATCTACACATCGAGCCTGGTCCTTTTCACCTTGTCTGGCTTCCAGCGCCTCTTGAAAGTCTAATTAATCGGACCGACCAAGATACTGTATCCAGCACTGCTTCGCAGCCAAGGCTGCTGCACCTTCATTGCTCGCAGCGTTGAGCAAGTGGGCCTTGAGGAGCAAGGCTTCTGGCAGGCCGTGCCGCAGTTGTAGCGCTGCCCCTACCTGATCCAAAACCAGCGCAGGTGGTCGAATGGGAAGGCATGCTGATTCGTTTATTTGATATCCCTGCTCTTCCAAGCCTCTTTCAAAGCTTGGTCTTCGCGGCTCAAGGCACGAAGTAATGCAGCCAGCTCAGTGTGAAGCAAGGCTCGCTGCGTCCTGTCTGCTTGCTTCGTCACAATCTGCAAAGACTGGCGAAATGCCTGGTCAGGAAGCGGCTATGTCAGAGCTCGGGCTCATGGAGGCACCGCTGACCGGGAGCTACAAACTTTTTTTGCAAACTTTGGAGGCCGCGTCCTTGACTGCTAGTCTCTGATTCTCAATGGTCCCGGAAGCCGCTCGTCGACGAGCTTCCTGCGCATAGCCTTCCGCCATGGCATCGGCACTTCTTAGCCATCGCAAGGTCGGTGCAGGTTCATCGCCCTCGAAGGGCTGCCATCCCTGCAAAGGTAGCTCTTCCTTGGCATCCGTAGGGCAGCCATAAGCTGGCACGCCTGACCTTCCAAGAATCCATCCCCACTGCAGCTCGCCCGTGTCAGCAGCTGGGCCCTGACAGACGCTCAAGCTGAAATCGCTTAGGTTGCCGTAGACTGGGCAACCCTCACAGAGAGCGCCCTCAGGCTCATAAACTCCGTTCACATCCTCGCAACCAGCACCAGCCACAAGCAGAGACAGCACATCCGTGTCCGGCATCCCCGAGGCTCCACCGGGCGTGCTGTCAGCTCTAGGACTTTAGGCCGCTACCATAGAAGACCAAGCTTTAAATACGGGTACCTCTCACCCAGAAAAGCCATGCAAAACTGAGCACCGCTGAATTGCCTGCAAGCTGTCTTGAGCTGGCGATCGAAAACTTAGAGGGGCTTCCCCTCCCACACCCAGACTGGCAAGCGGCTACTCGGCGGCGGGGCGCCATGAGCAGCGCTTGCCACGGCGCTGAAACCGGACACTAGCGATCCAGACACTACAGTCACTCCAGTATCCGATCCGGGGGTGGAATCCTGAGAGCTCTTCCGGGACTCTTGCTGCTCGACCGCCTCGGACAGCAAACAGGTCGAGACGGGCCGATGCAGCAAGTAGCTCCAAACAAACGTGCCTACCCAGGCCGAAGAATCGACAACCTGTAAGCAGAGGACGTACCAAACACCTCCGAAGAGGCTGAAGATGATACCGGCCATGACGAGCGGAGCCTGCAATCGTCTTGCTGTTACTGTGGGACACTGGAAAGCCCTCCGCCTTTTGCGACAACATATTTAGTGCCAAGATCTTGCGTACACTGAGCACAGGCCAAGTAGGCTCTGTTTGTGCATTTGCGGAAGCCTGCCTGCAGGACTGGATCTGAAAAGAATACGATGCCCTGGCAAGGCAAGCTCAGTATGTTTGCCAGACCGTGCTGCGATCAGTGAACCCCATCATGCCTCGAACACCACGATGAAGTTCGAAAGATTGCTAAAAACGAGGGTGGACCTTGACAACATGCTGTCATCCAGCCTTGAGCTAGTGTCCAAACTGTCTGTGGCGAAAGGTGAAGTCGCTGACGTGGCCGACGTAGCCTTCAGCAGATAGAGCACTGCCTTAGCGTGGCATGCGTAGCTATACTTATGACTCGCCAGCAACCGTACCAAACTCTGGATTCTCAAAGCCCCAAAGCTCAAGAGCGAGCCAAGTGATTGCCCACGAAGGCGAACACGGACAACGCCAGCATCAGCCTGGCTATGACGGCTATGACCACACTGGCCAACATGTGCCTGCGGAACATTTTAAACTGAGGTCCGGACATGATTGACGGATTGTGAAGCCAGACGTTCCAGGCTTCCAGAAAACTCGGCACGCCGGATGCAGCATGCCGATGCAAACAAGTCTGAGAAAGATAATATCAGGTATCATCCGGACATCAGACTGCGGAGATGTCGAAACATGCACATGAGGCAAGAGTCTTCTTGCATCCACCTACGGCACAGATTGTGCTGAGTGTCTCTGCGAGACTTTTGCCGCGTGTTGCTGGCACAGGCTCCTGCAGGGTTCCACTCATGGGTCATCTCTCGCCTGCCCACAATGGATCACCCCCCGGCAGGGCGTTTAGCCTGGCTTGGATCTCAGCTTCAGACCCTGTCCATGCGGACTAACCTTATGTTGAAGCAGCGCCATTCAGCACCCTGCAGCTCTGTGTGCACCTTTCACCCTGAGCTTATGCATGTGGACTCCCATGGACTCCCCTTCGAGTCCAAACTAGTGCTGACGAGCGTTTTCCAAATCCGTGGCTTCAGTAGTCCACAGTGGTCCGAAAGACTGTGCAAAATCGACCACGAGTTCAGGGGCCATGCAAGAAGTTGGTTGGCAGGTCTCTCGGGGCGTGAATTCCGGCCCGCAAGTGCCTGGCTTCTGCAAGGGTTAACAGTGAACAGTACAGCAGGGTGGTGGCTCATAACTTGGTTTGCTTCTTTTCCAAGTGGCTCAGCTTTGGCAAGCGATTGGAACTTGCCAGCGCGAACTGGCTGACAATCCAGGCGAGTCTCACACGCATGCAACAAGAGGGCCGGATGGATGCCATAGCATAGCAGCTAGCGATCCTTCATTTACCGTGGCGTAGACGGCCAACGTGCAGCTACCTTCCAGCTCCCCATCCCCACCAACCGTATCACGCCAACCAGAACCAGACGAGCAACAGAAAAAACAAACACCTGAAACACGGAATGCTAGGCAAGGCGGAAAAGAACGAAGCAGCCACACAACAGAAACCACACTTGACCACTACTGGCACTGGGTCCGTCACAATCGCTCATTGACGGTGGTGAGGACTCCGGCCGGCAGAGTTAGGAGCAAACCATCGAATGCGCACAGCAGGGTCGCGGGCGCCTGTGCCGGTCGCATTCCGATTCAAACATCTTCTCCACCCCCGAAAGTCCTCCTTGCATTCGGTCAAGAGCATCCGCTGGAGGAGCCTATATGGCAGAACAACGGCCTCCAGGCAGCGTGCTTGTAGAGATGCCACCAAATCCCAAACTCCAGGAGCTGACAGCTGAGGGCTCCACCACGAGAAGTCCAGCTGCTCGTGCCCCATTTGCAGAGAATTCCGCGTATTGCAGACTAAACCTTATGGGTAACAACCGCCGGCCCATCTAGCCAACACTTCCAGAATGAGGTGCGGACAGGAGGGCACCAAAGGCCATGGTGATCAGTGCCATCTTCGACGAAAATGTCCTGGCATGCACACAACACACATCCACGAAACATACTGTGTCGCCTGCAAGTTCGCCAGGCCCACACGTTGAAGCCTCTGGAGATGTTCGACCTGTGCACTCTGAAGAGTATCGATCTCCTCATCCTCCCGTAATGGTTACTATCCGGGCTGCGGCGTGCAGGAAACGATAATAAGATATAGTCACTATAGTCCTTAGACTCAATGTGAGTTGACATGTCGCAGGTCTTCTCCGCCCTGCTAAGCCGAGGCAGCGACGGGAGCACCAAAGGCTCGATGAACAAAGCGAAGAGCGGGCAGAGGTTCAGAAAAACCGTCCGCTCGGACAGTGAGCCTTCAGAGAACGCCCTCCTAAAGCATGCGCTGGGCGGGTTTCGGGGTTTAGGAGTTCAGGATTTAGGCCAGCATCACAGAAGTCGACTGCTTACATACGATCATGCGGGGCCCAATGGCAGGAACTTGAAGGCACGGAGAGTATGTTCGCAAAGATAGAGGATGAATGCTTGCGGCCACTGGGTAGGATTCCTCCCTTCGCGATTCAGTTCAGATATCTAGAATCTAGACGCCCAACAACAGAAATGCAAGAGAGCAAGGTTGCGTGAGCATGCATCCACCGATCTCTGGATCCTAGCCATGCAGTGCTGCATGAGGCGGCGGCAGTACAACGACACCTCATGGTTGATGAGCTGGTATGCCACGAACCTGCATGGTATTGCGGTCGATACATCTGGATTACTCCGGAGCTCAGAAGAATCCCTCCGAGATTCATCACGGGGAGCTCGACTCCATGGCGATCATGCCAAGGCTCCGGCCACAAGGCTGCTGGCCTGGTGAGGGACAAGCGCAACTTCACGAAAAGCTGAGGGGTTGCCCCGACTGCATCATTGGGGCTGCCACGTCCATCTAAGGAGCGGGTAAGACAATGCGCCCCAAGACCTAAGACTGGAAAATGTGAAGCCACTGCTACAAGCCTTTCGGCACACCGCCAACTGCTTCGTCTCCGGGAATGTCAGGCCAGAGCAGTGGGTACAATGAAAGCTCAGAGGGTACTTTCGAGCTTTGATCCTGCATGCAGCGTCTGCGGCTCATCAATGCAGCTTCAAAGAAATGCTGACTTTTGTGTTCAATGCCGCAAACTCGAAGATAGCTCGTTTTCTGTCAAGCATTGGCATCTTCGCAGCATGTCTCCGGACGAATCCAAGGTCAGGCGGCCATCGTAGGACTCCCCACCTCGAAGCTACTGGTACAAAGCCATATGCAAGTTGCAACTCTAGCGCGGATATCCGTGCACAAGAGCAGTTGAAGATGCAGCTTCTTTCAGATTCTGCTCTTTGAGAAATCCGAAGCTACTCTGAGCTCCCGACTTAGCCACATCTCCCGGTCTGAATCTGTGCCGTTGTCCTGGGCTTGGTGCATCGACTGCGGTCGGACAGTGCGCAGACGAAATCACAAACAGTCACGGCTGCTGTGAAGGGCTCTTGATTGTTGCAGTCCCACGACTTTGTCCCTGCACGGCAGGCCTCCAAAGATACTCGTACCAATACTGGTCCATCAGGCTCGCTGCACCGCCCGACGCGATGCTGCAACAGAAGCTGCAATGCGTCCTCCTCAACTGCACGCATCTCGGTCACAACGCTAACATATTGACCTGATGTTGCACAAAAGACTTTGCTGTTGAAACCTTAGCAGCTTGGAGATGAAGGTAGCAAGGCGGTCCTTCGAGTTTGCTGGCATTCGCCGCCTCTGCTTCTGTCTGATACATGTGTAGTTGCTGCTGGGTGGTTCAGACATGTTCGGACACCCTGCGACACCCGGGCTCGGGCAACAGCTAGCCGCAGCCCGCAAGCTGCTGTCCTTTGTGTTCTCCTGTTCAAGGTGCCTCTTTTGCGCTGTCCCACCCTTCTGCGTGTTCGTCCGGGAAAACTGACCAAAGACTGTTCAACAGCGGGCTAGATACATTGCGATGGGCTGAGCCGTCAAAAACAGTGCTGACGAGCAAGCCTCAGCTGAGCACAGCTGTGGCTATATCAGTTCAACCACGGAAACTTTACACAAGTGGGCACGAGGATTGACGAGTGACGACATTCGACGATGCCTTACAACGTTTCACCACGTACTGCACCGTAGTGAAATTTGAAACATGTTTAGATTTTAGTGAGCTCCGCACTGCTGGCAATGTTTATGATTCGTAATTTCCCGTCCCCTCCCCAGGCAACTCCTCGGGGTACACCTTCCTCTTTGTGGCCAACATGGCCAGGCACCCCGCCCCTTCTGGACAAATCTTCCACTTGAAGGGGACCCCTTCAGCTGACGATGAAATCCTTGGAACGCCACTGCCGACAGCACTTGACCTATGAATCTCTCCGATCTGAGCCCAGGCGTCTTGTGCAAGATCGGCGTTCCAGCATGAAGAATGGCCTGATGCTGTTGGCTACATTCCATGCGCATTCTCATGTGAATGTCTCCTCGACATGAAACGCTGCGCGGGTTTCTTAAACGCTACCAAGAGAACGCGTTCCGCTCGATCTCAGATCTCCTAGTGCTGGCAAGATGCCAGATCTGCAGAGGGCTCGCTCAGTGATTGAAGTCGTCTTCCAATGAAACTGACAACATCCTCGGCAATCTCCAAATGTCTTGCAAATTATGGATGCAAATCGAACAAAACGATCTTCAGACGAAAGCTCTTTCGGAAATGACACCAACTGGTGCAACTGGTGTCCGCAGAAACCGAAGAAGTCCACCACTTCCTGCTCAGGCTGCAATGACAACAGTGGCGAGGATAGTATTGGCACTGATATAGCGATAGTAATAGCGACAGCACAGCGCCAACAACAACAGCAACAGTATCAACGGCACCTGTTGCTCGCACCAGCAGTTGATCGTACGAGTACTACCTATGTTATTCAGCACTGGGACCAGAGCAACACACTCTGAGTCCTGGAAGGCAGGGTCGTCCAACTCAAAACGAGGGAAGAGTGGCGGCAAAGCTCTTCCTGTGCGCAGTGGCACATGTGCAGGGATTGCGCTACCATCCAAGAACCTGCGGACTACGCGGAAGGCAGAGCATGACCCCATGCTAAAATGATAATCCAATTCAAGGCTTGCGTTAGGCAGCACCACTCGCTTGTAGGCATTGTCTGCCAGTAAAAACGATCCGTTAAAGCGAGTGTAGTCCCTCTTCGGGCTCTTAGCACGGACTGCCTGGGAGCTGAATCGCCGATGCATTCGTCAAATGTTCTTGGGTCCTTACAGCACAGTTGAGATGTCGGGTGAAGCTCTCTAGCGACGCTCTCTTCAACACCATATGCCATGTTTGAGAAAACAACCCAAACTTTATGCCAACTGCGGCTGGCGGAGCAGGGTGAAGACCGCCAAGAAAAAGCCCCCGAAATGGGGCCCATGAATGGGCAGGAATCGGGCGCAGTGATGCAGCGACAATTCCATGGACCGCTCCGCAGGCAAAGGGAACATCGTGCTCAACAGGCTGGGCACATCTGCTCTGCATGGGTATTCTTCCATAGATGTGTAAGATCGCTCCGTGGAATTAAAACTGGGGTCGGGGACCCGCCACGTGCTCAAACCGGGCAGTCCTCTTGGACACCCCTCCGGCAGAACCGCTTCTGCAGGCAAAAGGTGCACACCCGGGAGATTCTCAAGCAAAGCTGCTTGCACGACCGCTTCGCACTCCAGCGGATTTAGCGAACATGTCGAATACACTAGCCTTCCGCCAGGTCTGAGCAAAGAGAGGCCCCTACGCAACAGGCGCAGCTGCAGCTCATGGTGGCTCAGCCCAGACCCCACACTCCAGCGCTGTAGCCGCTTCGGCTCCTTGCGAATGGTCCCGTCTGAGCTGCAGGGGGCATCCACCAAGATGCGATCGAAAGCACGGGGCCCAAGCAAGTCAGGAAAACAAGTTCCATCCATATTCGTAACGAGCAAAGGGGTGCACAGTTGAGCCTTCGCTCTAGACCAGGTTCGCTCCGATCTTTCCACGCTGACGTCGTTGGCAACAAGAAGACTCTCGTCTTCGCTTGCATGGGCTGGTCTCAAGCTATCTAGCAGTTGGCAGGTCTTGCTTCCAGGAGCACTGCACAGATCCAAGACCGCGTCACCTGGCTGTGGGCCGAGCGCGAGCACAGGCAACATGGAGAGCCCATCTTGGACCACCACCTCCCCTGTGGAAGCCAAGGTGTTTACAAGCTCAAGACCAGCTGCAGCTTCGTCGGGATTTGTGGTGGGTACCACATGCAAGGCACCACCAGAGTCTTCCATCCAGGGCACGAATTCTGCTCGTTGACCCAGCTTCTCGGTCAATGCAGAAACCGTTTGTGCATGCAACGGGGATCGGTTCAGGCGCAGGCTAAGAGGCACAGGACGTCCAAATAGCGTCTCGCATTGTTCCCAGTCTCCCGAACCGATGGCCAGCTGCAAATCCCTGTAGTACAACCGAAATTTTGCCAAGCCTCCTTCAGTTCCATGCTTCACACGCTCCACGTCGACAGGGTCGCACACCAGCTGCATTCTGGGAGCGCCACGCTTCGTTCCAGCACAAGCGATGTTAGAATCATCTGGCCGTGATGTCGCACCACAATCAGTCCGCAACATAACAACTTCTCCGCTCATCACAACACGACGACCTGCAGCCACCTGGCCATTGACCAAGACTCTGCCATCTTGACATGCAGCAGCTGCTTCCTGGCGAACGTTTAGATGCATGGCACCTCCCCTGCGCCCGAGCACCTCGCGAAAATGTTGTGCGACAAACCTCTGCAGCCGGCAACCACAGTGAGTTTCGGCAACAACGACGCACAGCCCATTGGTTGTCTCGTACTGCATGCTTGCATCCCGTCAAGCCAAAGGATTCCAGCAGCCCATTGCCGGCATACTTTGCCTGCAATCCGAGTCCAAGTTTCACAAGACTAGGGAGTTGCGTAAGCTAGTTGCAAGGTGCCGCTGTAGCTTTTGCTGCTGCGCGGCGCGTGCCTTCAGCATGTTGCTGTCATTACGACTGCTTGAGACTGCCGGAGGTATGCACCACACAAGCCACAGTGCTCATGGTATGGAAAGCCTTTGCTACGTACGTTAGACAAACTCTTTCTATCTGCACCTGTTTATGTACATATATATATATATATACACCATATGTATTAAGTATATATATATGTGTGTGTGTGTATGTATATAGACAGAGACGGAGAGAGAGTTATGTATGTGCGTGACAATCTAAGATACTGGATATATCCCGCTCAAGTTCCAGCCTGGGCCTGGCTGACTCGGCCAGCAAAGCTGGCATAAACCTGCTTTGCACGGGTGAGAGAGAGAGAGAGAGAGATACAGACAAAGAGAGAATTAATAATATTATTGTTGTTGTTATTTTTTGCCTCCTATGCTGTACACAATTACAGTAAGTTATTGCTAGTGTTATTATTGGATACCGAGAGAGAGCCGGGGAGGGTTTCGGTGCTCACAACTCGGACAATCCAGGAGAGGCATAGATCCAAAGGCAAGGGCTGGGTGAAACTGACAAGAGAAAGACTGGCAGTGTCATTTTGCTCAAAGCTTTCGCTGCGCATTGGACTGCGTGAGACTTGAGCAGAGGAACCGGAGGATCTCCTTTCGCAAATCTTCTTTGATGTGCTCTGAGAAGGCCACAGCCTTCCATTTTCTGCGCTTCTGTTGCGTAGCTTCGTCTCAAGTCACCAACAGCTCGCCACAGGACTTCCAGGTTTGAAGTCTTCCGATTCGGGAGGGCTCCGACCAGAAGGGACATCCACTTCTGACGCTGAGGTTTCGTCAGCGCGGGCAGAACGACAGTAAAATGGCCTGCACACCGCATTGCCTTTGTCAAGGCCTCTCCGCTATTTTCGGTGGAATCTTGCGCAGATCTTCCATCCGGCCAAAAATCTTTGTTGCACAAAAGAGAGGCCTCGCAACCAAAGTGCATTCTTGGTGGGCGGTTCTTCTCACAGAATCTCCCCGGCGCAACAGTGCGTAAGCAGATCTCTCAAGCTTTCGGTGAGGATGTTGTAGACATCACTTTCTGGGAAATGGGTTTTGTCCGCATCCGCCAGCTTCGAACAGCACTAGCGGCCTGAGAAGGGAACCGCCTGTGGTAGTTTTATCTTTATTTGCTTTCCGTGCATTATGTTTAAATTGCAAAGGGCCAATAATCACTCGAGGAGTTTCCGCTGTCTGACATCTTGCGCAATTCCGCATCGAAGATGGCGTCGCAAGCAGGCTCCAACTTTGCGGAAAAATCGAGAACTGGCTCGGAACTGCGCATCGGAACTTATGGCGCACGACTCCATGCCTGTCGGACGGAAGATGCTGGCAAATCCGCTTTCCCAACCTGCCCATCATTTCACAATACTGCACTTCTTGATCTATGCAATGCTCCCAGCCTTCGGTTTGCTGGTCTGCTGGGAAGTTACTCGCCACTCCATGATGTCATTGGCAGATAAGTACGGAGGTAGACCGAACAACACGCTTTCTGCGGGGTCAAAAAGGTCCAGAACCTTCCAATCATCCAGATTCCAGATTTGTTGGGTGCCCACGGACAGACCTTCGGCGTTCAGGGTCGTTGCATGTGCACGGAAGCCGCGGCTGGCTGTCACCGCTGCATGCGGGGGCATCGTCATAGGACACGCATTCAGTGCCTGATTGTTCTCCATGGCAGTGCCCACCACAGCATCATGCCGGCAATGCTGGCATATCCGACTCTGAATTTCGCCGCACTGTTTCTCCAAGCCAAGGTCCTGAGTGGCAGACTGTGCCGCTTGTGGCGATTCGTTGTCCCGGGTGTCACACTCGGAGAAGGTGCAAGCAAAGCTACAGCTCTGGCGAGAAGCTTTGTGAGCTCGTATTTTTGTTCTAGAGGCAGGAAGCGAGGCGCACTCGATGAGTGTCTGATTGCACTCACTGTTGGCCATCAACACGCGCTCACGCAGAGGTAAGCAAGCATTGGAAGCAAACAGAAAGGAGGCTAACAAGCAGGCCACCACCTTTGCGCAAACCTAAGCCTATGCGAAACACGGCTGCAACGTTCAATCCGTCGCACTGCCGACTTTTGAGCTGCAACAAAGGCTGCCGCACGAGGACATTCATGCTGCTGCGGAATTGCGTCCAGGTTTCTAGCCTCTGCCAGACCCTGGAACTCTGGAACCATGGCAAGGTACCATCGACATATCTAACCACTTTTGACAAAAAGTCCGCTTCGCTGGGATTTTTGGCTCCCGCCGTGCATGTCCGAGGACTCACTCGGCGGGCTGCACGTGCTCGGACGGAAGGCAAGAGATGATGACGGGGTTGACATGCATAGGCCTTGGGCTGAGTGAGCCAGGTTGAGCCAAGATGGCCACGGTATGCTGCAGTTTAGAGGGCTTCGAATCGCACACTCGCTGACAGGCACGGATTCCGACAAAAGGTCTCAGACTGCTACGGTAAGAAAGGCTCCCGAATGCAGGAACCAACAGCAGCACATCAACAGGACCCGGACCAAGCAGCATGTAAGGACCCAAGGGTGTCGGGTTTACGGCACATAACGATGTGCTGTGCACTATACAGCCAACCCCAAGGCGAGCATGTAGCGAAGCCCCTGTCTGAGGCGATGGCCTGACATCCTAGCGTCCAGAGAGCAGTAATGACCTGATTGTACTCCCAAATTATTATGAATCAAGGAGCAGCTGCGAAAGCAATGAGACTCTCTCAAGCTGGGGCATCCTGCAAAACAGAATCCTGCTTGTATCGTCGTCAAAGCCATGGGAGCGGCTGTCAGAGTCGACCTTTGCAGCTTTAATTAATAGTAATATACTAATAAAAATAATCATAATAATAATAGCCATCATAATAATAATAATAATAATAAGACTAATAATGATCATAATAGATAGATATAGAAACATATAATACGAACAATAATAATAACTAGTTTTAATAATCACAACTAGTAGCAATAGTAATAATAACCTTCGATAATAGTAAAGCCGGATTGGACTCCACTTTTCACATGACCTCCAACTGGATGCCAAGCTGTTGTAAACAGGTGCACACTACACCGCTACACTAAGGCTCCTGCTTCACTCGGGCACGGCAGAACAGGACAGACACCAGACATGGACTAGCTTGGACAGAAATGGACCAAACCACTCATACACATGTATATACACCAGTGGCCTAGCTATCTGCACTCTTGTCAAACCTCAAAGGCACCCACAGAGACTGGTTCACCAGGTCTAAGCCGACTGTAAAGGCACCTCGCCAAAGGAGGCAGCTACCAGTTCCATTGTCAAGGGTATTCTGATTTCAAATTTGCAGTGGAATACTCCTTCTTCGCTTTTAAGCGTGGAGCAGAGCGTGAAGGGCACAAGGATCAAGTAGTGTTTCTCTTGGTATCCTGCCGCAACATGTAACAGGTCACAGCATGATACTTGGCACACGTTGAACTTGACAAGTTGTGCACCGAGACAGGCTCGACTTGGCCAGCGAATCGCAAACCACCAAGCCCTCTGCCATAGTGCGCAAAGTATGCCCAAGCCATTGCCAGTGGAACGTACCTACCACAGAGCCAGGAAGACCTATGCAACTAGAAACTACTCTCTCGCGGATACTAAACCATGAGCGAGTGCGAACCACTCAGCTCGCGGCAACAAAAGATAAACTGAGACGATGATTTCTGGTGTGGCCTCAAAACACTTTCTCAGCGACTTCGCACAAGCAGCTCGCTTGCTTCCCTGAGAGCAAGCTCAGGGCAGTGCGATCTCAACATCAACCGCGGTTGCAAAGGTGTTATGAGGCTGCACCGGGACCATCTTTGTTCTGACCTGCACTGCAGAGCTATGACAGGCAGAAACTCGCAAGCTCGGGGGCTTACCCACACTGAGCCACCGAGTGCAATGCCTTTGCGAAGGGTGAGTTCTCCGACGATATGTTCACACCCCTTAGATCTGCTGCTGAATAACCTGTGAGGACCACCATAACTTCTGAGAGCCAGGCTTCTTGGTTGGGAACCTGACTTGCAAAGCCCATCGATCCAAGTAGCGCAATTGCGAGCTGCCCCCTGGTTATACACTCTGTCACAGCACCGGACGAGAAAGATGACGTGCTGAGCTCCAAGCATCGTCAAGGAAGAGGCCCGGGTAAAAATGAATTTCTGAGCCTGCCCAGGCTTTCAAAGGTGAACACGCGTGCTCCAGCATCGGAGCTTGTGCAACTATAGCACTAGTGCTAGCTGGACTTCTCGACCGGCTCTTGTAGTTGCACATATACATATACATATATATATATATATGTTGTGTATTTCTATATATATATATATACATATATATATATATATAGAGTATCTTCGACAATCTTACAAGCCTGCAGCAGGCTCGGAGGGTGGGTGCCGAAGGTGCCTGGCCTCGTATTCCTTCAGCTGCTCTGTGTTCTCCTGTTCTGCATCCTCCATACAAGGACTCTGCACCGAAGCAATCTGAAGTACAAACCGTGGAACTGTAGAAACAACACGTGCGGAGACAACGGGAGCATTTTCCGGTGCGGTTGATGCCAAGAAGGCGCAGAAGCGAGTTGCAGTGTCTGAGAGAGGCTGGATAACCAGGCAGCTGGAGGCTTCAAAACCCGTCTTCTTGGATAGTGGAACTCGCGCAAAGCCGGCCGAAGTCCAGAAGTTCAACAGTCGTGGGTTGCTGCTGAAGATGGCACCCAGCACGTCAGCCCGGCCATCGCCACGCGCCGACAGATCTCTGATGATTCCACCCAACAGCTTGTGACCAAGACCCTTGCCTTGCACCTCAGGATGCACCGCTAAGCGCGCCACACGCAAGAATGCTGGGCTGATGCACAAAGCACGTTCATGCGTCTGCCCGGCTGGAAGGAGAGCTTCTGCCAGCAAATCGTGCCTTCGAAGCCCGCCTCGCTGTTCGTGCAGTAGAAGCGCGCATGCCAGCAGTCTGCGGTGACCGCCGCACGGTGTCCAAATCGCAAAAAGCTCCATCCGAGTTTCGTCAAGAAGCAGTCTCAAATCTGCCGGACGAGTCCGGTAATGGGCAACTGCAAGCAACCCATACACTTCTCGGATAATCTCTTCGCTGCTTATCAGGCTTTGACGACGGATTCGTTCGATTTCAACATCTGTTTCCGCATCGACAGTAGCAGTGGGCAAAGGCAACGGCTCGGGATCAAGCAGAAGAGCATCCGCCACCAGCTTTTCAACGGGGTCGCCCAAAGGCCATCGGATTGGAGTCTCCATCTTCAAGCGCGCCACAGGCATTCCCTTGAGTTCTGCCCGCTCCAGAGCACGCAGGAGTCCGTGGCCCGTGCCTTCGTATCCATGTACCGTCCCAGCTACGACGACGCCCAAGTTTTGCATAGCATGCGCAGCTTCGAAGAAGCGTTCCATCGCTGAAGTTGGCTGCGCAGCAGCCTCATCGACCATCACCAGGTCAATCCCTCCCAGGCCTAGATCCAAGCTTGTCTCCAAAAGGATTGTCCGAACATCGGTTGACTCTGCAGCGGGGGGTCTTGCCTCAAGTTTGCAGCTCGAGCAATGGGAGTCTTCCGATACTTCCCCGTCGGACAAGACTGTCCATTTCAGTAGTGTCAGGCCTTCGCGAGCCCAAAAGAAAACCTCGGCCACAGATCTCTCCGTTTTGGCTACCACCTCAGCCGGCCACCAAGCAATGATACTTCAGTGCTGGAAAACACCCACTGCTCTGATCCCTACTAAGCCACAAGCTCAGAAACAACCTCCCAACTACATCAGCACTGGCTTTCAGGAGAATGCAGCGCGGCAAGGAGGGGGCGCTCCTGTGAGCCCTCAACAAAACACATGCAGCTCTGTTCGGGGCCGGCGTGATTATGTTCGAGGCAAGCCGTGGGGATCATCGTCTAAATCATGAAAGTGGGACGTTGGCAAGTTGCGGAGGTCACTGGAACCGGGAATGTGCAGTTAATGAAGGTTGGGAGCCCCAAGGCTAATGATGCCTCAGCTGCAGTAGCTCAACCTGGACACAGTCTTGCCAAACAAAAGCCTGAAAGTTTGCCTGTAGAAGCTGAGCCTCGACAATGGAGCGCATCTGTGTCAGAAGAGCGGCGGCCGCAATGCCCAGTGCGCTGCTCTTCCCTCTGCCGCGCGGTGCTAGCAGGGCCAGCAGCGAGCCTGCGAGAAGACGATGCAAAGCAAAGAGGCAACAAGCATATATACTTGCAGTAAGGTGAGTGCTGCAGAGGAGGGCGATCAGCTGTGTTGGCATCTGCTCCGTCAGGGTTACTTGTATTCAGCTGAATGGCATCAAGCAAGCTAAGGCAAAATCTTCAGGTGACAATCTTTAGAGAGCTAGCCTTCGTTGTTAATGGCGCAAAATATGGCCATGCCTTGTGTCGCAGCTGCGGCGATGGCCTTTATTCCAAGGGCGACAAAGACACAGGGGAAGGTCTCACTCAAGGCTACTTTACGGCGCTCGGCTCAAAAACCTGCTGCGTGCTGCCAGCATGCTTCGACAGCGGCAGCTTGCTCCGCAGTCTTGCAGAGACACAGAATGCTGGAGAGGGGACTGGCCGCTTCGGCAGGCGATGAGGCAACATCACGTGTATCGGGGCCTTGGTCGGGGTGACACTTGCGACTGCTGCAGTCGTCCACAGACCGCGGAGCCTTCGGCACGTGTTTGTGTATGCCGCTCACGTGGTCCAAGTGAGTGTGTGGACAATCCTGAAGTATCTTGCCAAACCGGATGTCGAACGGCGTTCTGCAGAAAAGCTTCCTGCTGGGGCAATACTCACCGACTGCCTTTGGTACGGATCTGCGTGGCCCATGATTAACTTCAGCATGCTCCGTCATAACCAAAACAAGTAAACCACCTCCAACAACCAAACCTGATAAAGCCCCAAGGGCATCGGCTTGAAGGTGGGGAATGCACACCAGCACACACACCTCGCACTGGGTGCCCAAGGTATTGTCGGCATTTTTGATGTCTACCCAGTGCCACTGCGGCGCATCTTGGTTCATCTTTGGTGGCCCTTGAGATTTCTTATCAAAGCTTGCCCAAATCCACTGCGAAGGATATGCAGTTTGCGGGAAAATGCTCTTGCTGCTCTTTGTTCGCAGACTCTGCGACACCTCTGCCACGACTTGCAGGGCCCAATCTCCTGTCTTTGCAGACACGATGAGGAGCTTGCGAGGGGAAGATCTGCTTGTGCTAGCGGAGGGCAGCTCTTCACTTTCAACCACCACTTCGGAACTCAGGAAAATCCCATGCTTACGCAACACACCGTGGTATGGTGCCAAGCTCGAAGAATCGACATTTTTCATCAAAAAGGCGTGGTTGGAGCTGTGTTTGTTTAGCATTGGGTTTTTGGAAAGTTCGGCTGCCTTGCAGTGCTCCAGCCACTTCTCTCTCAGATCAGGATCCTTTTGCACGGCCTTGATGACGGTAGATAACTCTGCCTTCTGCTGCAGGCGTGCGGCAGCTTCAAGGTCACGGAGGCCACCACATCGAGGACACTGCCGAATGTGCCTTCGGAATACCAGATTTTCACAACTGCCACAAAGCCACTCGCACTTCGACCAGCACGCGCTCGCAAGACCCTGGGTCACGACTGCTGGGCCCACGAAGTCTGTGGCGTCGTCACGTCTCAAATGCGCGCGAATTTCTACGTGATCTGTACCCGGCATGGGGTCCACAACTTGTAAAGATCGGACCTCAAAACCCAACTTCTGCAGCTTGGGCAAGTCTTGTTGAGATGACACGCGTCCAGCAGAGATGTAGAGGAGCTCCCTGACCTGAATTTGTGAGATGTAACTGTAGAGATCCTCCCCCAAACCGGCAGACCTTGAAGACGAGGTTATGAGAGCATGGGGCACACTGCCGTCCTCGAGAAGATACTGAAGGTCATGGACCCCACCCTTGTGCACAGGCACAGGTGCCGAATTGCGAGAACAATTCTCTCGGGCGGCTTCTACCAGCTTGTCATTCTCCTCCATTGCGACCAATGTGAGATGGGATTGCAGGAGGTGGCCAAGGGCAACTGCACGGTACCCCCAGCCACACTGCAGCTCCACCAATAAGATGCGCGGCGTCTCCAATCTTTCCTTCATTCCGTGTGCATGATGCAGGAGGAACTCCACAGCACCAGCAGCAGACTCTGCATTTGCTGGAGCAGGGAAGTCGCCCCCTGGCCGCCGATACTCGAAGCGATGCTCGGCGATCACCAAAGAATCATTGAAGGCAAGCTCCTGTCGAAGCGTACGGATTGATTAATAGCTGCCAAGGTGATACAGGTGCCAATATGTGGCCAATGGTTGGCTGGCATTACTTGGAACCTCGGCAAAACTGCATTCCAAACCTTCCAAGCTCCTCTCCGCAACGCCGCCGCTGGCCCCGGCTGCGGGCCTCCATGCTGCTGAGACCAGCTGCGTGGCGCACGACCTCCGCTTCCTTGTCCCAGCTGGCCACAAGTGGCCGGTCGTAGGTCATCAGCACCTCCAAATGGCCTTAGTAAGTAGGGTTATAAGTTATAAGTACCTTAATTGGGGTTATAGGTACTTAAACGTATACTTACCTTAAGTATAACCCTACTGTAGAGGAACACACGCAGTAGAACGCGAAGATCTGCCTATCTCGATGCCTCGTTGCTAACCGAGTCGAATCGAAAGTTGCTGCTGGAGATGTCAAGGAACTAGCATCCCAAGCGGAAAGGAATCTGCATGTCTTCAGCCCAGCCCGAACCTCGGAGCAAGACCACACAGAGCGTGTTGCTGCATACTAGTTACTAGCATCAGTCCGTCTTGGCTGTGCCTTGACACTCCAGCTCGTGTCAAAACGGTCTTGCTCAGTAGTATGCCAAGTTGCCGTCTCAGATTCCTCCAGAGCTGTCAGAAAAGGTTCCAAGCATAGCTGAATGCGTGGTACGGCAGCAGGGAAGCAAGGCTCATGTAAAGGCACCGCTTGGAAGTTTTCGCGAATCGCATAGGCTAACCTGCGCGTTCCCTCCCGAGTGACCTCAACGATTTGAAATCCACAGGCACAGTTGTAACCAGTAGTCTGCTGTGCTTGGGTCACGGTGTGCGGAACGGCCGCGGCAGCGGGACACGCTTCCAGAAGCTCCGCTAATGCTGCCCTGGCTCGAATTCAGGCGTTTCACGCACCTCTATCTTAATTCCCTCACCTGCTGCAAAGCAGGCGCGTACAACTTCTTCAGGGTGAACAGATGAAACTGCCCAATGACGCCAAGCATCTCGAGCTTCTGCAAGCGGGATTCTCTGCATTGGCTGGACATCTTCGCCAGGGCAACATGTGCTCTTTTTACAGAGAGAACGCTTCAGCCCAGCTTCATGAGAAGCATGTTCGCTCTTAGCTGGCTTCTCTGCTCCACATACGTATCATGGGACTCCTCGAGTCTTGCTTTGACTTGGCTGCGAAACTGCGAAGCAGTGCGCGTACTTACGGTTCGCAGTCTCAGATTCACTCAATCTGAAGATGCTTCAGCAATGGCAGAGGCTTGATTTAATTGGCAATCTATGATCATGGTGGCCTCAGCAAGCACCTGCATCATCTGGTACTCAATCCACAACCCCAGAACAAACTCCACGTTGTTGCTGCTCGAGAAGGCTCCAGCCTCATCCGAGGGACTCAGCCATTTCCAGCCATGCCGATGGACTTCACCCTGCCTGCAGGCTGATAACCGCAAGGGTGTCATGTCTCACACATGCGACGACACTGGACCATCCACCCGAAGGAGGTGTTGTCAGATGACAAGTGGAATCAAGTGGATAGCTCTCGCTGTCCGCTCACTGGTACAGATCCCTTCCCAACCCTCCCAATCTCACACACACACACACACACTCACACACTGACACGGTATCACTCTAATAGCGGGCAGGCAAAAGTGGAACGCGCCGATGTGATCGGCAGATGCATGATTTGCTCTGGTCGAGGTATCAAGATAGTGTCGAGAGATCCCTTCCGTTTAGGTCATGGTGTGTCTCAACACACAATTACTCAGAGACTCAGAGGCGGTTTAGAGACGATGAATTCACCGGGCGATTCCTGATCTTTCTCTTTTGGAACTCGCGCTCGAACTAGTCAGCTGTTCGCGCAACGTCCTTGCGTCCCTACCAATACAAATTTGTCATCTACTATACTATGTCTTCTTACCCTACCTTATCTGATACATTTCATTCACTCCCGGTCCCAGCCTTGGCTTCGGGCCTGACCTGGCCAGGATCAATGTGTTGCTACACATGCTTCAAGTTTCAAATGCTCTCCTCAGCAACAGCGCTTCTGTATCAACAGCACTGCTCTAGCGACAGTGGGCATCTCGGAATTGAAGCACTGAAGGACCGGTCTTCAATACAGATACCGTTTCAGACAGGCCCTCCGTCGTTGTTTCAAACTGTGCCAGGAGCGCAAAGCATATGTTGAGGAGAATAAAGCCAAACCTGCAACAGAACGAGTGAGGGGCACAACATGTCGGCGACCCAGCTAGCATCTCGTCACCAGCCCAAACACTACCTTCTGTCTTGGGCCCAAGGCAGACTGCCACGCGAAGGGCAGACGGCCTGTGCGGAGTTGCACAGGCAAGTGACGTACTACCACAATGCTCAAGAGATCAGAATGCCAAGGCCGCCGCTTCCGAGGGGCATCGGGAAGCCATGCCGCACCTCCCTCAGCCAAGAAACCCATGCTTCCGAGTTCCAACTTCGGCACCAACTCGTCTGTTATGTATGTTGCATGCATGCCACTGGAAAGTTTGTCTCAGGAAGCAGCCATATGGAGTTGGAGCCACCGGCTCAAAGTGGCGGGGCCCCAAGCATTTCGATATCGAAGAGATGATGCTGCGAAAGCATACACCATCAAGAGCAAACAGAGTCACAATGTTCGTAAAGCTATTCAACCATGCCATGGACACAGTATGCCTCACTAGCAATGCATACCTTTGTTGTGGCATGACTGCGTTCAATGCTGCAGCTTGTGAGACAAACGTGGGATCGGCATTGCAACGGTTGCGCCTGCGCTGCTGATTCCTGATTCCTGTCTTGGCACTTAGTATTCAATCCACCGATGTGCAGTGTACAATGCCACGAGGCATGCGCGTGTGCTTGACTTCAGCACAGCATAGGTGAAACCTAATGCGGAAACTTGACAACAATTGCTTGGTGCTCCTTCTTGCAAGACCTTAGCCTTAGCAGCCTTGACCTACTCCGTGCAGTCAGGATATGTTCTCTAGCACTCCCCCTGACGACCAGTGACCATGTGCGCGTCACTCATCGTCGATATCAGCCAGAGCTTCGTCCTCCTCCCTTGCACGGAGAGGCAGCTTCCAAAGTGTATGCAAACGCTCTTCATCTGAGGTCTCGGCCCCTCCATACCTTCGGCTGGTGGTGCGGGCAACGCAGCTTCCTCTCTGTCGACCAGACCCATGAAAGCCTGGCCACCGCTTCACCACTCAAGGATGGTAGAAGAAGCAGAACTTTGTGCTGTCTTGCAATCTCGCGCGTTTTGCCCCTGCACTAAGGCTTGAACGAGCATTGTCTGCACGTAGGCTGGGATGGCCTCAACACAGGCCGTGGCAACAAACATTCAACATGTCGTCGGTGCAGCTCCTTGTCCAGGGGTGTCCCCAGGCTTGCCACCAGACCACGACAGGATTCCATGACCACCTGTCTCGTTTTTTCTTGATGTTCGTGAGCCTGGGAACATTCTCGGTACATCTCCTGCCTCAAAGAACTCCCAGAAAAGCAACGCACGGTGCTCAAACTCTTCGGGATGATTCGCCGTGATCTTTCCGACCTGTGAGCTCCATTACGTCCGGGAAATGCCACAGCTCATTTGGAAAGCCCGTTACAGTACCTCTCACAGAAATCCTGATAGTAGCCCGACAGCAACCGTTTCAAGCCGCTGTTGTTAGGGCAGGGGCATGAGAATCGAAGCTCTCCAGGATTGCCTGAAGCTGCTCGAGGTCGAGGTGCTCCTGCCCACGCAGGCCGGAGATGCTCGCATGTTCTTAGACCATACATACATAATTACCTACCTACATACATACGTGTATATACATAAATGCCCATTCGTGTGTGCGTGTGTGTGTGTGTGTGCGAACATACATAAACACATGAAATGTATGCTATACTATACTATACTAAACGAAACGCTGTAATACGAGGACCCGAGCTTTACTATGTATGGCATAGTATACTTTAGAATACTGCATGATGTTGCGCTGCATTTCTATTTGCATACGTTATGCTACATGTATACTATACTATACTGTACTCATACAGTGTATTGTATTACACATTAAACTGTAGAATATTATATTAGAGTATACAAGTAATATGCACTTGTTTATTTTGTTTATTTATTCAGTTGCCTTTATCTATGTTTAGATATGATCCTTCTCCCAGGCATTCTGCAGTCAGCCAAGCTATGTTGGACTCATCTCCTCTCTTCTCTGTTCTCGTCGTCTCTCTGCCCTCTCCTCTCAGAGGGGCTTCAGGGTTGAGGCTAGCGTTTACAGGGTTTAGGGTTTTTACTTAAATTGCTTAGGGTTTATAGTTAAGCTATGTTAAGCTGCTTAGTTATTAGGGTTCCAGCTCTGAAAGCATGTCGGTCCCAGCCTCTCCGCCGAAGATGGCAGCCATGTCAACGCTAACAGCCTGGCGTCTCAGAAACTGACGGATCTGCTGTGCGCAATTGTGCTGAGGCCAGAGTTCTTCGTTCTGGATTATCAGTGTTTTCACCCTATGTCTTCCAGTCAGCGCCAATGTTCGCAATGTTGTGAGGATGACCGGAGCCTTGGATAACGTGATGTTGAGCCTCTAGCTGCCCACAAAGCCTATCAGGCCTTCGGAGGACCTGCTTCGGCTGGCTCTCCTTCAGGCGGTGGTGGGGGAGCCTCCTGGAGAACGACAATGCGAAAATGCCGCGGGAGCAAGCACACAGTGCTTTGCTGAGGCTGCATATCTGTAAGAATCAAGCGCCGCTCGCTTCAGACAGCTTCTCGTAAGCAAACCTTGGTCGGACATATCCGCGAGTCCCGCAGTCGATTTGTCGCTGGTTTTTCTGAGATCCTGCGAATTGAAGCTGGGGCCAGGGCTCCAACACGTACTTCAATGTGGCCTGACTTCTTGGTGTCCGTTTCTTTTCCGGAACATCTCAAGCCGCTTTGGCGAAACTGACCAAACAATAACTAGGCAGCAAGCCGGAACTAAAACTCGCTCTCCTTGATAGTATGGCCACGGCTGTGCCTGCGTGCAGCACAGCCCTATCGGCCCTATCGTAACGTAACATCCTGTGCCCAAAACACATGTCAACTCTCCACGACTTGGCTTTGCGCCAGAAACGCATAGATCGACCGGATGGAACGCCGATTTTCCTGGCAGAAAGAAGTTGAAATACAACCACGGCAACATCGAACCTGCCTGCATGCATGCGTGCTTCCCTGCCTGAATCACCACAAGATTTTCATGCTGCACTGC